ACCCAGGTCCTCTGAAAGAACAGCCAGTGCTCTTAACTGCTGAGCCATCTCTCCAGTCCAAGAGTGCTCTTAATTTTCATTTCAAAAGAAATCTTTCAGGACTTAAGAACACTTGCTGTTTTTCCAGAAGACCTTAGTTAGGGTCCCAGCCCCCACATGGGGCTCTGTTACCCTCCTCTGCAGCCTTCATTGGTACTACACATCCCAGTGAACAAACCAGCAATCAAAACACTTGTACAAACAAAAATAGATCATTTTTCAAAATATCTTAGATTACTGACTTGTAGACGAGGGCCGGGACAGGTTCCCCTCTGTCTTCTTTACCCCTGGATGCCTTGCCTCACAAAGCCGCATGGTCAGGAAGACTCAGGCATTAAGTTGGACAAGTTGCTCATCCTCGTCTGTTTTTTCCCATTCGTGAATAAGGCTCATAACTGCACCCGTGCCCCATTGATGTTTTGAAGATGGTACAAAACTATGATCCCCATCTTAGTATGAGGAACTGGTGACTGAAGGACAGTGGCTTATCAGTCACAGGGCTCCTGGCTACTGTTCTAGCACGTTCTTTTATTCCTCTGCCCTACCAGCCCCCCCGCCCCCCATGTCTCTCCTACTTCCTGGTTTGGGACTGTTTTGCTCCACGGGTCCCCAGAACCCCTACCTGCACGCTAATCAGCCCAGCATAGCTTGCTCCCTCTGGGCCAGGATGAGGAAATGATTGGGTTCCCTGGTGCTCACTTTCTTATTTCCTCTTGGGACAGAACACCCTCCTGGGCCTGCCCCTCCATCCATCCTGAGCCCATCCACCTGTACACAGGACATCCACCAGAGGGCGCGCCAACCCCATAGGCTTTAGGTTTTAATAGCTTGGCGGTACAGTGAGACCGAGCCAAGAGAAAAATGGACCAGAGAAGTCTGAAAACCCTGCGAAGTAGGCAGGGGAGAATCAGAAGAAGTCCTTCTTCTGTGCCTGGATTCAAGTCCTAGGCTGTCCTTGGGGAAGTGTGTGGCCTTAGGCAGGTGACCTAACTCCCTCAATTCCCTCATTACAAATCCAGATGATATTAGGAAGGCCCTCAAAGACCACAGAGGTGAGGTGACTGACTTTCAGACACCTTTAGGTAAAGCCTGGCTAAGGTTCACTGCCTCCAGCTGGGTGTGGTAACACCTACCTGGAATCCCACCAACCAGTTCCAGGCCGGCCTGGGCTAGAAGTGCATTCCAAGGCAGTCAGGGTTACATTGTGACACCGCCGCCTCTTGTTCTGGGAGCCTGTTTATTGGCTGGCTTGGCGCTAAATCTCACAACAGCCCCAATACCGGCTTCACCATTATCTTAAAGTCGCTGAAATACATCGTGAAAATTGCCTTTCAGGGGCAATGCCCTTGGAGGTCAGAAGAGGGCGCCTGATTCCCTGGAACTGGAGTTAGGACAGCTGTTAGCGGCCAAGTGAGTGCTAGGCAGCCAGTGCTCTTAACCCCTGAGCCATCGAGAGCCCTGTGTCTAAAAAAAATTTTCCCCATCAAAAAGATCAATAAACCTAACATAGTGGTGAGCACCTTTAATCCGAGCAACTCAGGAGGCAGAGGCAGTTGGATCAAACCAGTTCAGGACCAAACCAGCTAGGGCTCCACAGTGAGACCCTGTCTGAAACAAACAAACAGAAAGATTAATAACCAATTTGTGGAAGCTGTGTAATACCATTATAGAGCACTGGAAGTCAGAGATGGAAAACACTAACTCTTGAAACGAATCCCCTGTCTATGTCTAGACATGAAACTTTACCACATTGGGATGGGGCTGGGAAAGAAATAGAACAAAGGCTCTGCTTTTCAATATTTTATAGAGATAGGCCTGATGGCTCATACCTGTAATCACACCAGCACTCAGGAGACTGAGGCAGGAGGATCTGTGAGCCTGTCCTGGGCTAGAGAGTAAATTCCAGATCAGCCTGGGCTAATATAATATATTTGGCATTTCTTTTGATATTTTATTTATTTTATGTGTACGAGGGTATTGCCTACATATATATAAGTGTACCCATGTCCTGCAATGACCAAGGAGGTCAGAAGAGGGTGTCAGATCCTTTGGAACTGGAGTTATAGATGGTTGTTAGCTGACATGTAGATGCCGGGAATCAAACCCAAATCCTCTGCAAGAGCAGCCAATACTCTTAATCACTGAGCCAACTCTTCAGTTTGGTCTTTTTGAGACAGGGCCTCTCTGTAGCCCCAGCTGGTCTGGAACTCACTATGTAGACCAGGCTGGTCTTGAACTCACAAACACCTGCTTGCCTCTGCCTCCGGAGTGCTGGGATTAAAGGCATGGGCCACCATACCCAGCCTTTAAAAAAAAAAAAAAAAAAAAAACTTTTTTAAAATAATAAATAAAAACTAAAAGCAAAAACAAAAAAGTAAAAATTAGCCTGGATGGACATATAGCTGAGTGGTGAGATGCCTAGCTGGCCTGCATGAGTCCCCAGGATTGCAAAGTATTTCTGCTTAGTTAATAAAGAGCTAAACTGCATAACAAGATTCTCAAATAAAATAATTTAAAAAAATAACATAAACTAAAGCAGAAATCAATTTTTTTTTTTTTGGTCTTTTTGAGTTAGGGTCTCTTTGTAGCCTCAGCTGGGCTGGAACTTGCTGTGTAGACCAGGCTGGCCTCGAACTCATAGAGATCCACCTGCCTCTGCTTCCTGAGTGTTGGGATTAAAGGCATGTGCAACCATAGCCTATCAAAATGTTTAAGATAAAGGAAAAAAACACCTTCAGGCAAAGTCAAAACTTCTTGCCTCAACGCCTGGAACTACAATATAGAGGATGGTTGTTGGTGCTGTCCTGGGCAACTGGTGACCATTTGGGGCTGACTGAGGACAGCTAGGAAGGGGGTGTCCTGACACAGGCTGGTGATTTACCCAGGCTGACAGGGTACTCAGGTGCCTATCACACCAGCCAGTGATCCCAGGCTCTAGAATTTTGGATGGTGCCTTAGGGGTATTTATTAACCCTTCTACTAACAAACACCTCCCCTTTACAATGCCAGTTGTCCAACCAGTGTCTGATTAGATTCTGGAAGTTTCCATTCATTTATTTATTTTTCAGCTTTCTCCAGGTTGATTGAACAAGTTGAATACTTTTTTTTTTCCAAGAAGACTCTCCTTACATTTATTTATTTATTTGCTTATTGGAGGTGGGTGGGTGAGTGGCACAAATGTGGAAGTCAGAAAACAACTTTTGGGAGCCTGCTTTCTCCACCTTCTGGGTCTCAGGGGTCAAACTCAGGTCATCAGGCTTGGCCACAAACACCTTTACTCACTAAGCCAACTGGCCAGTCTCAAATTATTTATGTATGGAAAAGATTAGAGATGGTATGAAAATCAAAGACTGGATCATTGATTAATACCACCACATCGTTAAGCTTGGTTCATACCTGATTGTCATAGCTTTAATTGAGAGACAAGAGCTTGTAATTTGAGCCTGGCATTAAAAAGAAAAACAATAAAACCCGAAAATACCGTTGTTGAGGGATTTGGGCCATATCAAGAGTATGTAATATAGCCAGGCATGGTAGCGAAGGCCTTTAATCCCAGCACGTGGGAGACAGAGGCAGGCGGATCTCTGTGAGTTCAGGGCCAGTTTGGTCTACAAAGTTTTCAGGCCATCTGGGGCTACAGGGAGACCTATTTCAAAATAAATAAATAAATAAATAAATAAATAAATAAATAAATAAAAAGTATATAATATTATTCTCCAGTGGAAATCGCTTCAGGTGCTGGGTAGTGTGGCACATGCCTGGGACCCCAGCATTCAAATTCCCAGGTAGAAGGACCAGAAGTTCCAGGCCAGCCTAGGATAGAGAAAGCTGTTTCAAAGCCACCAGAGGGCACTAGGTATAATGGTACAGGCCTGAGTTACATCATAGAGGCTGCCCAAAAGAAGAGATCAGCCAAAACTTAAAGCCTACGCAGTACCTTTTCTAAACTGCTGAACTCCTCGGGGCTGGAGAGATGGCTCAGTGATTAAGAGCACTGGATATTCTTGCAGAGGACCCAGGTTCGATTCCCAGTGTCCACAAAGCTGCTAACAGTCATCCGTAACTCCAGTTCCAGGGGAATTCGATGCTCTCTTCTGACATCCATGGGCATTGCACACACGTTCACTTACACTCATATAGGCAATACACTTATACAAAAAATTAAAATTAAAAATTTTTTTAAAAGACCATGTCTTAAACATTGCTGGGTATGGTGGCATACCACTGTAGGTAATGCCAGTATTCAAGAGGTATAGGCAGACAGATCTCTGTGAGCTCAAGGCCAACCTGGTCCACATACAGAATTCCAGGTCGGTCCAGGTTCTATAGTAAGACCGTTTCCAAAAATATAAATAAATAAACCAGAGGCTGGAGAAGTGATTCAGCAGTTAAGAGCATTGGCTGCTCTTCCAGAGGTCCTGAGTTCAGTTCCCAGCACCTACATGTCAGCTAACAACCATCCATAACTGTAGGCTTCTCTAATACAGTCTGACCATAGAGGCACCATTGGGCATAGAAATGAATTTGGCTCCTTATTTCCATGTGAACCACAGTGAATACACATCAAACATCTCCTCCCACAAAATGCAAAAGCTACATTGGATGGTTATGAATCTTAAATATAGTGTTTTCCTCCCTTGAAACCCCTCTCACTGGGAATTATTTCTCATTTTTCCTTAAATAAATATACATTCACTCTGTTAAGAAAAATAATCCTAGGATCTGGAGAGATGGTTCAGTGGTTAAGAGCACTGGCTGCCCTTCCAAAGGACCCGGGGTTCGATTCCCAGCATTCACGTGGCAGCTAACAACCATCCGAAACTCCAGTTCCAGGGGAATCTAATGCCCTCTTCTGGCTTCTGCAGGCATTGCATGCACATGATGCACTTGTGTACATGCAGGCAAAACACTTGTACACATAAAATAAATTTTAAAGTCTTAAATATAAAAATTGAGAGATGATAATTTCTATCCTGGGCTGGATCACATGTTGATTCTTTTTTGTTTTTTTGATTTGGTTTGGATTTTTTGTTGTTGTTGTTCTTGATAAGACAGGGTCTCCCTGTAGCCCCAGCTGGCCTGGAACTCACTATTGTAGACCAGTCTGGCCTTGAACTCACAGAAATGCTGGCCTCAATCTCACAGAGATTCACTTGCCTCTGCCTCCTGGCTGGGACCAAAAGCATGCGCCACCACGCCCAGTCTTTGGTTTGGTTTTTTAAATATTTTATTTATTATCTTTACTTTATGTGTATGAGTATATTGCCTGCATGTATGTAAGTGCACCTGTGTCGTGCAAAGCCTGCGGAGGTCAGAAGAGTGTTAAATCCCCTAGAACTGGAGTTACGGACAGTTGTTAACCACCATGTGGGTGCTGAGAACTGAACCATCTCTCCAGCCACCCACATGTTGATTTTTTGGAAGTTTGAAGACACGAAGAAGACAGGCTTGGTGGTTCTGACCTATATCCCAGCACTTAGGAGGTGGAGACAGAAGGATCAGGAGTTCAAGGCCAACCTCAGCTACAGAGTGAGAGTACAAGGCCAGCCTGGACTACATGAGACGTTGTCTCAACCACCCCCTCACCCTTTCTGCTCATGGTCCCAGGGCTGCAACTGCTTTAGAAAAGGGCCACAAAATTCCTGCTGCACCTTGTAATGAAGCAGAAAAAGGAAACAGTCTCCCAGAGGAATTAATTTAGCAAAAATAAATCTCCTTCCTCCATGGAGTGACACCAGCATTCAAATTGCATCTTGCTTCTCTATCGGAACAAGAGACAAGCAGAAACTCATTGTACTTTAGATGATTTTTAGTGGCCAGACCTAAAGGCTGACCAGACTATGGTACCGGCACAGGTCCCTGGTACAACCCAAGTCCCTCCACTCTTCTTTCTTTTTTTTTTTTTTTTTTTTTTGGTCTTTTTGAGACAGGGTCTCCCTGTAGCCCCAGCTGGCCTGGAACTCACTATGTAGACCAGGCTGGCCTTGAACTCAGAAATTCTGCCTCCTGAGTGTTGGGACTAAAGGCGTGTGCCACCATGCTCGGATTCCCTTCATTCTTTTTCACTTGATTTCCACTGTGTCTAACCAAACTGACCCAGGAAGTCCACACGGGGGAACAAGTGACCCAAACCTAGTGACTTAAAACAACACCTGCTTGGGTGGGGCTGGACATCTGGCTCAGCAGTTGAGAATGCTTGCTGCTGAGTGGAGCGGGGGCGGGGTGCCGGCAATGGCCAAGGCAGAGTCCTCGTGGCCCTTGGCCGGCAGGCAGAGCAGGACAGGCCTTACACCTGGGAGGCCCAGGGTAGCCTGGGATGCGGCCCGGGTGTGGAATGGGGAATTTAAACCTCTCAGAAGTATATAGTAGAACTAAAGAAGACAACAAACAACAGTCATCTGAAATTGTGATTGGTTCACTAAAAAATTAGAGATCACAACTTGTGCACAAAAGATGCTTGGCATAAAGGCTTGGGCTGGGATTGTTGTGGAACGGGCTGCAGAGGACCCATTCGGCTTCCTTACAGCAGTTATTTTAGCCCTCCCACCACTGTTCCCAGCTAGTGCTGTTCTGTCCTGGAAGTTGGCCAAGATGATTGAAGCCAGGGAGAAAGAGCAAAAGGAGAAACAAAAACATCAAGAAAATATTGCAAAAGCTAAAGGGCTAAAAAAGGGTTGAAGGGACAAACTGGCTCTGCAACGAGAGAGAAAGCATTCGGAAATTACACAGCTTTGGAAGGACTAACTAAGGTTTCATTTGATTTCATCATAATATGATTAGTAATTTTTAAATATTTATTATTTTTATTTTACGTATATGAGTGTATTGCCTGCATGTAGGTAAGTGCACCCGTGTCATGCAATGCCCACGGAGGACAGAAGAGGCCATCGGATCCCCTGGAACTGGTATTATAGACAGTTGTTAGCTGTCATGTGGGTGCTCTGATTTGAACCCGGGTCTTCTGAAAGAACAACCAGTGTTCTTAACTGCTGAACCATCTCTCCAGCCCCATGATTAGTAATTTAATTCTGACCCTATAGAGAAATCATGTCCTGACCTCAGTACTGTAGTAATTTTAGGCTTGGAATCTACTGTCAGGCATTATAAATTAGCATTTATTATACAGGTGGAGTATCCCTAAATTCAAAACCCTTAGTACTGCAAAATCTGACCCCTGTGTCCAGACATGACCCCAAGAGTGGGACATTCCACACAGAGCTTGTGATGGGCTGCAGTCAAAACACTGGTGCAGTAAAAATACACAAAATGACTTTCAAATGAATTTTGTGTTTAGATGTGGATCCCTTCCTCAGGTATTATGCAGGACATATTTGGGAGCTTATGTACTCAAGTGGAAAACATCCTTTGGAGAAAAATGGCTTTCAATTATGAATCCTATTCAAATGGTAGTTTAAGATGGGGTTCAAATCTGGACAGAGGGTATTAGGAATGTGAAAGAATTATTCTCTGAGGTGAAAAGTTTGCCTTAGTTTAAAAGAGATATATTAATCACAATTTAGAAAGCACTGCTTATTACTTGAAATAAAGCATTTCTTTCTCCAAAAAAAAAAAAAAAAAAAATTCCACGTCAGGCAGATCACAGCTGCCTGTGACTCTCGTTCAAGTCATCTCCCTCCTCAGCCTAGTCACTTTGTCCAGGGGTTCTCTGCCCTGTCCAGAACCGCCCCTCCGCTCCGATGCTAACCACTGCCCTCAGACCAAATCCTGCACTTTACCCATGTCTTTCTCAATCTAAATTAGTAGAAGCCACAGTGATCTTGGCATATAAAGGATGTCCCCAGACTGGAAATGTAGCACAGCTGGGAAAGTGCTTGTCTAGCAAGCATGAGGCCCTGGATTCAATCCCTAGTACCATATAAACTGAGTGTGGTAACCTTTGCTGTAATCCTAGCCCTCAGGAGATGGAGGCAGGAGGATCAGAAGTTGAAGGTCATCCCTGACTTCATATCAAGTTTGAGGCTGTACTGGAGTATGTGAGACACTATCTAGAGGAAGGGAGAGTACCCTTAACTTACAAATAACATGAACTCCCATTGGTATGAGTAGAATTTCCTCCCCAGCGGGTTGCTAAACTAGGGTTTAGTTCTCACTCAGAACAGTTACTGAGACGATGTTGGTGTTCTTCCAGCTTTTTTTTTTTTAAAGTCCCATTCTACAGTCTATTTATATAACCAGTGAATGGAATGTTCTAGACTACCATCTTCCAGACCTTGCTAGGGAACTGGAGCCCTTAAGCTCTGTAAGAGTCTAGAAGACCTGTACCTTCCGGTCTTTATGCACCATGCCTTTCCTAAGGCCCCTCACACCAGCTCCTACATTTGATGGAAGGACATTCCTGTGGGAAGGAACTCTGAGCTGTGTCCAGGTTCTTAGTATGTTCAATGATGATTGACTCAGAGGACAGGCATGGTGTCCTCTGTGCTCATATGAATGCCCATCTGAATGATGGGAGCCTGAAGACAGAACCTTTGGTCTGAGCTCTTGCCACAACCCAGGGAGCAGACTGAATCCTATCTGAGACCAGGTTTCCTTTCCTCCCTGAGTGATGCTCCTTAGTCTTCTCTAAGGCTTCTGATTTTCCAGTTCAAATCCAGAGTCCTGCCCTGGATGTGGTCAGCCAGGCCTCACACTTTGGCTCGTCTCACAATGACTTTGCATCTCAGGCTACTAAGGGGCCTTGTGAGCTTAGAACTGGTGGCTATGGAGATCCTGAGGAAGGGACATGGAGAGACGGCTCCTGGGGTAAAAGCTCTTGCTACACAAGAGTGAGGACCTGCATTCAAGACCCCAGAACCTAGGTACAGAAGTCAGATGCACAGAACAAGAAGCTGCAATCCCAGCACTCCTATGGGGAGATGGGAGGCAGAGACAGGAGTCCCTGGAAATTGTGTGGATCAGCTAGATGCAGCAGCAGAAAATAAAATAGAGACTTGTTTCAAATAAGATGGAAAGCCAAGATCAACCCCAGAGGTTATCCTCAGACCTCCACAAGTGCACTGTACAGAAGTCAGATGCACAGAACAAGAAGCTGCAATCCCAGCACTCCTATGGGGAGATGGGAGGCAGAGACAGGAGTCCCTGGAAATTGTGTGGATCAGCTAGATGCAGCAGCAGAAAATAAAATAGAGACTTGTTTCAAATAAGATGGAAAGCCAAGATCAACCCCAGAGGTTATCCTCAGACCTCCACAAGTGCACTGTGACACACCTGTGCCTTCATACACACACACACACACACACACACACACACACACACACGCACAGAATATGGGAGATGCTTCATCATCCTAAACCAGAGGTATAGAGTGGTGGGACTGGAGAGTTGTCAGGGCTTGCTAGAGGGTAATTATCAGGTGTAAGTGGGTTTGCCACACAACCCCAGATCTGTTTCCAGTTCCATAAAGGAGTTAATGAGAATCCAGGTCACCAGCCAGAAAACCCTGGTGCTGCTGGGGAGGAAAATCCTGGCTTGTATATGAGTGGCCAGGGGCAGTATTGGGGACATCTTGAAGATGGCCATGGGCAACTTGACCTGAGGCTGGTGCTTTATGCAGGTGGAGGAATAAAGCTTTATCCCTGATGAGAAGATTTCTGTAGAAGAAAAGGGTAAGAAGCCTCCTCTCCCCACCATGGAGGAGGGTAGTTGGGGGTCCTACATTCTTGGAGCACACACTGTCAATCTCTGCCTACATGAGGGCTATGAGAATTCTAGTCTAGGAGAAAACAAAACCCAGCAGGAAAGTGGGATTTGGGAACAACTGGGGTCCAGTCTTCCTCCCCTATTCCCAGGGACTTCTGAGATATCTCATTTCTCAGATGAAGAAACCACGGTCCAGGGGCATGATGGAACATGCACAGAAAGTTCATATCTGACCCAGACCAGAACTTACTGGAGTCCATAAGACTTGAAGGCTGGGGCTAGCTCAGTGGTTAAGAGCACTGGCTGTTCTTGCAGAGGGGTGCAGTTCCCAACACCCACATGATGGCTACCATCCATCCATACTCCAGTTACAGGGGATCTGACGCCCTCTTCTGACCTCCAACAGCATTGCATGGCACAGGTGCACTTACATACATGCAGGCAATACACTCACACACATAAAATAAAAATAATAAATAGAATATTTTTTATAAATACTTGAAGGTTAACAATGTTTTGCCTGTGACTGATGCATGAATTTCTCTCAAATTCACCACCACCAGGTTGCACACATAAATTTCTAAGAACAGAAAATCACTGTAGCATGGGGTGTTGGTAAGAGTTTGATGTTTTTTTCAGTTTCAGGATTTTTTTTTTTTTTTGTCTTTTCGAGACAAAAAGGGTCTCCTTGAAGCCCCAGCTGTCCTGGAACTCACTATGTAGACCAGGCTGGCCTCAAACTCACAAAGATGCCTCTGCCTCCCAAGTACTGGGATTAAAGACGTGTGCCACCATGCTTGGCCAATTTCAGGATTTTTTTGATGTTTTCATTTAACCCAGGCTGGCCTCAAACTAGCTCTGTAGTCAAGGATAACTTAGAAGCTCTGATCCTCCTGCCTCTACCTCTGGAGTTACAGACATGCACCACTATGCCTGGTTTAGTCTTGACTTACTCTCACATCTCCTTTTCAGAGTTAGCTCCAGTCACAGTAGCTCTGTAGTCAAGGATAACTTAGAAGCCCTGACCTTCCTGCCTCTACCTCTGGAGTTACAGACATGCACCACTCTGCCTGGTTTAGTCTTGACTTACTCTCACATCTCCTTTTCAGAGTTAGCTCCAGTCACAGAGAAACTCTGAATCTGAAATCACAACCACCTGTTAACTGGTGTCGAGAGCCACCAAGGGTAGGAATGCAGGCTTATGCTTGGGCTCCCCCTCACTCCCACTTCCCCTACAGATTGCCTCCCAAGGACTTTTCTAAACTCTGGGTTCTTTTTTTTTGATATTTTATTTATTATTTTTATTTTATGTATACAAGTATATTGCCTGCACGTATTGTGAGTGCACCCATGTCGTGCAATGCTGCAGAGGTCAAAAGAGGGCTTCGGATTCCCCTGGAACTGGAGTTAAGGAAGGTTTGTAGCTGCCATGTGGGTGCTGGGAATCGAACCCAGGTCCTCTGCAAGAACAGCCAGTGCTCTTAACCGCTGAGTCATCTCTCTAGCCCCAAACTCTGGGTCCTACAGCCCAGATGTCACTGTGCCCTGGCAGAGGGAATGGCCAGCTGGGGGTGTGCTCCCCTGGGTCATCCCCCATGCAGTTTTCCTGAGGCTCCTTGCTGCCTTTGAATATCAGACATTAGCAGCTGGTACCCATGGGGATAAGCGTGCACCCAGCTTTGAGCTCTGTACTGGTGACTTCTGTCACTGTGACAAAATACCTAACACAACCAAGTTAAGAAAGGAAAGGTTTATTTTCCCACCTCAATTAGCCCAATCTAGACATGCCTAGAGGTTTGTCTCCTAGGTGATCCTGCCAAGTCGGAAATCAATAGTAATCACAGAGGCTTGATAATTTTATCTGAGTTAGAAATTATCATTGTACCCATTTGATAGAGGAAGACACAGATTCAGGAACGACATTGCAATTATAGCCTCTTATCATAGCTGGGGAAACTGTCAAGAACATCAGGTCTAATGTTTAATTTTTTTTCTCTTGAGATAGTTTCATGTAGTCC